GCCTGATCAGCCTCACACCAGCCCTCCCACCCCCACCCCCCGCGAAAGAGCAGAGGAGCGGTTTCTGCCTGCTAGTGATTCAATTAAAGTCAGTTAATTCCTGTGAAGTCTGCTTAGAGGGGCTTTTTACAATTAATTTTTCAGAGGGTCTCTGGGGAGTGGGCTGTGCGAACTGCAGACTAGAGCATTATGCGTGGAATTTAATGCTGTGCAACCTAAAGGTAATCCTGTGGTTTTTGTGGGGGAAAAGTGGATTAAAAATGAACGGGTATGTACTGTGGGAAGTACAAAGTGGACTTGAACAGCCGTTTCTGGGTTAGGAATTATTTGCAGCCAACTAATTCCAACCACCGGACACGATTCTGATTGGTTCAGTAACCCGATAATCCGTTTTTTGTGCCATTTTAAAGAAGTGATCCGTCTAGAGATAGAGTATCGGACACTAGTTCGTAGGACCTGTGAGCTTTCGTCCCCAGTAGATGCATTTGTTTTTATTTGAGGTAGTTTAAAGTTGTCGATACGAATAAAAAGGTGAGTTCCAGGAAGCGGTTGATAGAAGGAGTTGTGATCGTTGGAAAAACGCTTATTGGCGCGACGTTTTGCATTCTTACTCGAATCCATCATCAGGTAAACGGTTGCTAGCACCTTCGAAACGTCAGGCGAAGAAATTTCTTGCTTCACCATCTCCTTCTCTTTGACTTACATTTTTTAGCGTAATTCGGATACTTACAAGTTTTGACATTATGAGGTGTGTTTAGACGGCAGCGTTGGTTGGAATACGAAAAAAATGTTAGTGCGGAGTCGATCAGTCCCCACGGCTGAGTTTTCACTGGAGAGATAAAAACAGTTCCCTGCAGATGTGAAAATCAGAAAAGCAACTTCAAGCGCGGCAGGGAATAAAATATTTTGTTGCTACTACAGCGTGGTTCCTACCCAAGTAACAACTAATCAAAAATCAGACTTTAAATATGTCGTCTCGATTGCGAAAATTAAATTCGAATTAAATAAAATAAAATAAACAACAAATACTATTTTAACTTCTTCAACATGGGGATCATGCTGCCTAATCAAGTCTTGCCGATTTCCTGGGTGTGGGCATCTGCAAACTCAAAGTTCTTCAATGATTGAAAACTCTGTGGTCGTATCCAGTCTGATTAAGTCGTCAATAAGTTAGCCATCGGTCAGGCGTGCTTTTACTCTGCGTTCAATGGCAGGAATCAACCTCGCTGCATCTCGCTTTTGTATGAAGATGTAACAATCGTCGCCACCATGAGACAATCCGAGAACCCACGGACCATCAAGGTGTGAGCCGTGGTTCCAATGATGATGTACTGGATCGCCATCGTTTTCTTAGGCAGGCCTATCTCCATCTAATAGATGACCACGGTTGTATTTACGGCCTACTGGAAATCTGGATTCATCGATTCGTAATGGGTTTTCTGGTGTTTCTTTCAAATTTACCCTCTGAATGACAGGTGACCTTTCGGAGCAGACTTCTCGGTAGTAACTGGACCAGTCAATCGCAGTATCTGGGGATCTACAAGTGAGCTTTGGAATTGCTCTCAGTGAAACTCTGTCGCTTCAGAGATAAACTAGCTCTAAACCTTCCGTTTAATCCCTATAATGGAGGAATTCGATCGCCTTTCTCGCTGATCGAACAGATAGTCCCTTCCTCTGCATCTTCATATCGGCGCATTCTATCCACCGAACTTTTTATGAACATCACCGGTTTATCGCAAGTGCAGCAGGATCCTTCCTTTCGTAGGAGACCATGTCGGGGAAGAAGATATCGTGACGCTGTTTCTGCACTACTCACAATCTCAGCATAGAACACTCTTAATAACATTGACAGGATACGCTAGAAACCAGTTAACTGTCTGAACTGGTCAGTTGTTCGATGTGGGGACAGGGCATAGTGGCTGACAGAGCTAATGGTTGCGTCTGCACATGTCA